CTGATGGTAATGAAAACAGATTTGACGACACAACGGAAATGCAAATCGACATTTCTGTTGACCAACCGAACAATTATATCAAATCTTTAGAACGGTGGCCTCAGGTGCGACCTTCATACGTCCCCGAGTGGCTTCCACCATTTCCGACGATCATATCTCATAAAGAGGATCATGAAAAAGGTGATGAACACGAGGCAAATGACAAAAAACCAGAACCCGCAGTTGATAATGCGGAGAGTGTGATTGTCGAAAATATTACGGGGATTAATTCAGAGATGAAAGGTGCCTCGGCAAATTCATTGGTCAACACGCCTCACGACAGAAATGTGAAAACAAGTCGTCGTATAAAGCGTTCCCCAGATCAGCGCCCACCGACCTATGATCAATTTACGAATATATATAAATCAATCACCTCGAACAAACAAACTATGAAAGATCTAGAAACGGAAACAACGAAAGATGAAAAAAAAAAGAAGCGCAAGTTGAAAGTTTCAACATTATCATTGTTTCCATCGCATCATGCCTTCGAGACGAAATTTGATGGGTGTGATGGAATCATTTCTCCTGAAACACCTAATTCATTGCCATTCTTTAAAGACATTCCAAGAAAAATTCCGATCTTCGCATATCCGCCTCCCAAACCTAGCAAGAGTGTGGAATCAAAAGTACCATCGCAGACGGTATCCGCTTCTTCAGACTCGAAACTTGAAGAAAAATTTTCAGCATCACGAAAAGGAAAGGAAAAAGAAAAAATGATTATATTCACTCCTGACAATTTTGAAGCCCCCACGCCTCAACCCCTTCCATCAAAGTCTCAAACTCCTGTTCAACGAGATACAAAGAGTAAAACAAAAAAAGCGTATACTCCTGTATCTTCGGAAAAACCTATTCAAAAACCTAGGAAGGGTTCGCAAGCTGGCACGACGGTGCTTAAATTACGCGTAGGAACTTCAACTGCTTCAGCTATTTCTTCTACCCCGTCAGTACAAACAGAATTAGTTGTTAATAATGACACTGCAGATCCGCCTGAAATCATTAACTGCATTTGTCCATATCCTCTTTCAGAGATTGACGATGGAAATTTCATGCTATCATGCGACAATTGTCAAGTTTGGTTTCACGGAATATGTACAGGATTTGGTCCTACACCCGTAGAAGTAAATACGTGGTATTGTGAACGATGTATAGAAAAAGGTATATCTTAGCTATAACTATGTAAACTTTTCCACCCGTAACTACCCCTTCCGCATTTTTTTTTATATGTATCCCGGCCCTAATATAATGAAAGTTATTAAAATTTCAAAAAACTATTCGTTTTTACGTTACACTTTTGTTTAAAAAGCTCACACCATAGAAAAACCTTTCTTCGCCTGTATCTGTATTATCATCATTTTTTTATGGTTTCAGTTAAACAATTATAATTAGAGTCCGGCCGGATCGCAATTTGGGCTCCGAGTCGAAAAGCATCGAGTCACACGATGGTGGTCAATCTTGACTGAATATTTTATTTCGGTCTATGATAAATAGGCCGAATAAGAATCTATTTAAAAATCAATTACCATGTACAATAATTACATAATTAGTAATCTATGATTGTTTTTTCGACTATATGCTATAATGCATATAGAAATAGCTAAACAAATTGTAACAACAATTTCATAATAAATTCAATAGTTTCTAATGACAACACTTTAACTTTTGCATCATGCCAAGTATATCTATTAATTGAATCATTAAATTTTCATCAAAACACAAAATAAAATTAAAACATTATAAATATAAATTTATTTCAATGATATATAAAACCAAATTTATTTTTTTATAAAATATTTTAACACATTAATATAAAAATTATTTATCATCGATTTTTTTTTATAATTTAAAAATAAAAATAAAAAAGGTTTCTTTAGAAAATATTTTATATTAAAAAAATTTGATTGTATTTTTTTTTATATAAAATTTTAAATATAAGCTTTTACAGTTTTCAAAAAAATTTTTAAAATTTTTTTAAATCCAAAAAAAAAAATATATTTAATGATAAATAATATGTTTAATTAAATAATCATTTGAGTATATTTATTATTTAACAAGATTTTTATTAAGGGAATATCAAAAATATTAATAGAATAATTTTGATTTAATTTAATTATTTATTCTGATTTTAAGTTTTTCAAGTATTTAAAATATTAAAAAAACTATTGTTAAAACAATATAAAATATACGTATATATATTAAAAAATTTTAATGAGTTGAAAATAATAATAAATAATAAATTTCTTTATTAATAAAATTGGTTTAGTTAATTAAAAGATATTATGTTAATTACAATAGTAATAATAAATAAATTATTTATTAAAAATGCAATTTTTTTTCGAACATACTACCGCATGCGAGGGGTATAATCTTTTGCATATAAGATATGTAAGACGTGTAAGATTACGTAATATACACAAGCGAACGCGTTATCTCTA